TCAACTGCTTCCATAGGGAGCAATTTTGACCCCAATGCGGGCACATTCCCAGGCACAATTTACTATGCCTTATTTTAATGCACAGTAACTTTAGGGTGCATTAATTGCACATGTAGATGCACCCACAGTTAAATAGGTAGGCAGAGAGGACCTTTTACTAAGTTCAGAGACTAGTCTCCCTGGATATGTGTGGTTTCCCAACATTTGGGAGGATTTTCTTGTTAGAAATAGAAAAGGAGACACAGGAATTCAGTCTTCACAATAGAACTTCATCAGAAATTCTTGGATCTACTAACTGTGCTGATTTCTTGTTTGATGCTATGGGACAAAAATCCATTCTTGATGGCTTAGTCTTTTCTACCTTGGTTATCACTATTAAAAAAACCAACCTGGCAGCTAATGGATTGGAAAGATTATATGTACTCTTATAGAAGCTGTTTTAACAGATTTGAACAATGAACATTAACTTGCTAGGAGGAAGAAAACATCAGGTTGGAGGAAATATTTCAGATAAATTATCCAATTATCTGAGGAGGATAATGGCAAAAATAATAGGGGTATGAACAGTGATTAAAAGGCTAATAGGGGTTCTGCAGTTATAGTTAAAAAGTAAGAATAGCATAGTGGCACACTGATGTAAAGAAACAGCACTTATAATGATATAGAGAAAATGAAGCATAGCATTCATAGAGCTGTATTGTCCATTTACATTTCCTGTACAGATGCTGTAGTTTATCAAGCTGTCATCAAGTCTCCCATGAGTTGCATTAAGTTGATGGGTGAGGGGTGACCAATATAATGGGGTACAGCTCCCAGAAATTTTACTTATATTTTATACTTCCTTATCTTTCCTGTACTTCTGGAACGTAGCCAGTTAAAGATTGCTTATTACCCTATGTGAGGTTGAAACCTATTCCTTGAAAACGTTATCAGATAATTTGAAACAGAAATGAAAGCCCTTACTGATGAGATTTCAGTTTGCATGCTCAGATGTACTGGAAATGCATTTAACTTTGTAAGAACCACACATACCTGTTCAGGGAACAGAAATTTAACTGTACAGTTTAAATAAGCACAATTCAGTCACACTGTCCTAATTGGAAATGAAGGATGTCAGATAACAAATCAAAGAATACATAAAATATGAAAAATAAATTCTGACAAATAATACAGAGCAATGAATAATTCTGGGGAAAATACCAATCTACTACCAAATATTCCTTGGACAGGAGAGGACATGACATTATTGGACTAAAGGGCTAGATTGTACCAACAGACATAGCCCTGTGTGTGGATGTGTAAAGCTTGAGGCATGTTCCCTACTTGATGCTCACTTGCTTTGAGTTGGGGTTAGCAATTTGCAGTTGGTCTGTTGATGGAACAAGGTACACCACCGCTTACACCAGCTGAGCTGCACTGTGTACAGCATATTCAGGGTTAGAGGCCAGGCTCTGTCTACTTCCATGCAGCATCTGCTTATTCCTGCATGCTCAGGTTCAAGGTCTAGGAAACCTCACTCTGTGCCTTGCCGAGGTCTAGGAAATACTCGCTCTAAGGCCTTTATACTGCTGCCTAGTCCAAATCACAATCTTGCCCTAAACTGTTCAGACTGAAACCTTCACTCAGCTCTAGTTTTCTTGATGACAGTATAACGTAGTGCTGCTTATCCTGCACTATGGTTATAGCCTCTTTAATTAATGCAACATTTTTATACTGTCTCAGGTTTTGAGTGCTCTAAGAAGTACAGTTATGAATTACACAGTTTTAGGTTGGGGATCTAAATACTGTGATGAAAAGGTGTAAATTTAATAATCAGGTTATTGTTGATTGATGGAACCTTTGTCTGCAAGTTTAAAACACTCATCGCTTTTTTCATTAAAAATGAGTGATAATTAGCAAGAGGCGTTGTTATTAACACTTAGCTTAGTCATGAAGGATTTCACTGCTGATGCTGAGCAGATGGAATACTTATGATGATTCTTATTCTAGTTTAAGTAAGATGCTTAGAATTATCTCCCAGATGTGTTAATGTATAATTTACTTGACGCTATAGTCCACTTGTTAAAAGAAACAAAATATAATAGTCATTGTAGGAATAATTAACGTATACAGTAGTACTTTACTAGGGTGTTTTTAAGAACTCTTTTGAATATTACACAATCATTACACAAATAAAGTGTTTTTAAATTCAAGTCCCTTTGTGTAAAGATTGAATAAAGCCTTGTAAAGTTGCTGTGTAGACAATATGAAATCAGAACATTTGTAATCATCACTGCATCATCATTTATATATATATACACACACACACACACACACACACACACACACACACACACACACACACACGCTAAAAAAAAAAGCATGCCTCATTTAAATACACAGTGCCCTAAAAATTTGGAATATAATTTTAAGGAGTGGCTAATGACTTGGATTTTTGGAAGTCCTACTTGAGCCATTTTAGTCAAGTTTTATTTTGCAGAATACAATGAACACCAACCTGGCACTTAGGACCCATCTACCCAAGAGACTGCTATAATTGCACTGGTTCTCATACTCTCCAAATATACTTAGAGTTGGTGATTTAGATCAAAGCCATCTCAACCTTGGTCTCAGATTGCCCAGTATTACAAGACGGATAAAGAATTTCATTATAGCCATTGTGAGGGTACTAGCATTTGATTAAAAACCATTTACTGGTTAGAAGGGGAACTGAGATTTATATTTGTTTCTGTAAGTATCAGGATCTAAGTATGTTTTTTTTTTATTTGGAATCAAAATAAAGTATAATAAAGTGAAGACCCGCTAGACTCTTAGGTTTGAAAACCAAGGCTTTTGAAAATATGTCTTCAAGAAATTCTTAGTTCAAATAATTTTTTATTAAAACTCCTGTGATCCATGTTCATGGTGTTCAAGAGAATGCTAATATTCATATTAGCTGTCTTTTATTCTGCAGAGTTGTATGTTCTTCAGTTTGTCATTACAGATAGGGTCCTATATAAGTTGATTCAGCACGAAGAGTTCTTGGTGATCCACTTAGGCTGTTGTCATAGTGGAGCAGGGAGGCTATTTCACAAATAAAGATCATCACGAAACTAGCAAAAAAGAATAGTCTGAAAATGAGGGAAAATATAAAGCATCAGGAGCTATGGAAGAATTTTGTTGAAATTAGAATAAATACGTTCACAAAAATGTTGGCTGAAGTAGAGCAGAAAGGGATGTAGTTAGCTGTATTAATCTAAAGTCAAGTAGAAGGCTGGGTAGATTTGCACGTCATAGACTAACCAAAGTCGATTATATATAGCACAAGTTTTCATGAGCTGAGGCACACTTCATCAGATGCTGTGAAAGGATGTGCACAAAGCAGTGTTATAAGAAGGCAAGTCAAAATGTAGGTAGAGAATCACAGAAAGTGAAACCTTAAAAGTAAAATTAACATGTTTGAAGTTACTGAGATAATGGGATAGGGAATTTATGGAGGGGTTTTGGAAATGAAACAATGGAGGGTGATAAATGAGGCAAATAGCTAATTGTGGTACAATAAATGGAATGAGGAAAGATGATAGATGTGATGAATGGTGAGGAAGTGGCATTTTTCCTCATAACTTTCACATAACCTAGGAGGAGAATCTGCTGTCTTCATCCTAACTTATTTGTTCTGCAGAAATCCATATCTTGATCTCCTGAAAACATTTTTCTGGTGGTGTTTTATAATATTGGATAGGATTGGGAGTGACTGAATCCAGGAAAACTGAGCGCTCTTGTTTCAAAATACAAAAGCTTGATATGACTATTTGATTATAACATCACATAGATTAATTATAAGGTGCATTTATTCTCTGCAAGTGTTATTAATTCAGAGAAACTATACAGAAGAAGAATTTAGGAAGCTAATAGCCACGAAAATGGCAAAAGACCATAGAACCATTTTAGCCAATAGCTTTCAGTGAAGGGAAGCACATAAATATAAAATGAAATTAGTATTTTCTCTGATACAGGTATCTCTTTCTAAATTTAGCCAGTTGTGAAAAATATTTCAAATAGATTAAATGACCCACAGCAAAGACTCTTATTAGCAGGTTTAATTATCTGGAGATTTTTTTAATTAAGGACAATGTGCAATGCTTAAAGCAGCAGTTGGTTATTTGGTCTCTTGAATAGCTTGCAGTGTGCTCTCACCAGATGCTACTCTTATTATCTTCACATCTGGAGTGTGGAATAGATGCAAGTAACAGCATGGGTCATAGTTAAGGTTGATTCCATTTGTATTCATCCTTAAACCTCTCTGCAACAGGGTTAGCATCTGCTGGAATCATAAACTCCCTTGCTTTCAGTTATCTGCATCATCATAACCTCCTCAGTTAAGAGACTCCTCTGTGCCATGGCTACATTATGAAGGAACTTTTTTCTCCTAAGGAGTATCATTTTGTCTTTTACACAGCATGTTGCCTTTTACTGCTTTTCAGTATCTGCTTTAAGAAAGATCTTTTCCTGTACTATCAGAAGTGTTTTTGAACATGATTCCAGTTCCATAATATCACAGTCCATAGAATACGAAAAAGAACAGTAGTTAACCATGTGAATTTGGATGAATGATTAGGACAATGGAGTTTCATTTCCCTTGAAAATGCTGTGCATCACCTACAATAGCTCCAGGTGCAGTCTTGTTCCCTCAACTTTCACCATGTTTGATGTCTGCTCTTTCTTCTGCATTTGGTACAGGTAAAAGAAAATGTTTACTCTGCTGAGTTAATCTTGACTGCTGTGGGGTCCTAGATTATAGGCATATTGTTGCTTATCACTGCAACGTGGTTGTATTTCTAATGAATATTTATATGATAGTAAATGTGTTTGATATTCCTCAGAATACATCTCAGAAAGTTGATTTTTGAGTTAATATTGTCAAAATTCTAGGATATCTCAGAGAAAAATTTGTTTCTTGTATTTATTCCTATGGGGTTTTTTTGTGTTTTGTTTTGTTTTGTTCTATTCTGCTTTTTAAGGAAATGCTTCCAGACCGCTCACTTTTATTTAGAAGATAACACATCACCTAGAGTGATATCGACTCCTCCTGCACCAGTCTTTCCAGTCTCAGGTAATTTATTTTGAAGTGTTTGGGGAATTATTGGTAGCTGTTAAAGAACTCTGACAAATATTGAAGTTTCTTTTATTAAATAGGAGTGTTTGGTACATGGGTCAATATGATAAACAGAGAACAAGGTTTTCCATTTCTCACAGAAAAATGGAGTAAACCACGGATTTTACCTTTTACTGGAGGCAAAGGCAGATTTCTCATTTTACCAGAGAAATCCACAGATTTTCAGTTTTGCAATGAGCTCCCTGCAGACTGGCAGCGCTCCAGCCTGCAGTAGCCTGGCAGGGAGTGGGAAGAGCTCGATCAGGCAAGTAGCACATGGCCTCAGGCAGCCTGGAGAGCAGCTCCCACAGGTAAATGGTGGGGATTGAGGCCCGCATAGGGAGGAAGGGAGGGAGTTGAACAAAGCTGGGGCTGGGGCTACTGGCCAGCTGGGCCCCCATGGCAGCCACGCAGGCGAGGGACACCTCACCGGGGCAGCGCAGAGCTTACAGCAGCAGGCAGCTTCCCGCGCAGCTCCACTGTTCTTTGCAGCCTGGAGTCGCACCCGCCAGGCTGGAAAAGTGCCAGGGGAGGGCAGCAGGGTGGGAGCCCACAGCAAGGAGCACGCAGCCCCTGCCCCACACACATCTGGGGGACACGAGTGTGGGCACATGTGGGGGGCCTTCAGGAGTGCACACCATGGCAGGGAGCAGCCCTCCCACTCCGTCTGAGCAAGTAGCAGTGGGGAGAAGCCAGGCTCTGCTCCACTGTAGCAACCAGGGGCAGGGGGCTGTGGACTGCCTTGTTCCAGTATGACACTGGCCCCATAGCCCTGCCAGGTGGGAGCCCCCTCCAGCAGGGCTGGGGGAGCAGGAGGTGTGGGTGAGAGTGAGGGGCACCTCAGAAAATTTTCATTTTTTTAGCAGGGAAAACCAGGATCCCTGATGATAAATAAGAATTCCTTATGTATGGTCTGAGACATAAGCCATTGTTTAATTCACTTTTAAGGCATGTATGAATTTGGCATTGCACCCATTTCCATTCAGTGGAGTCATCTGTGCTTGTAAAGAGGCTTTATCCATAAAAAAGGCAGACTGTAGTACTGCTACTCCTCTTCAGGATGTTGTATCTGAGCGAAGCACTTCTAACTTACAGCCAGAGGCTGCCTCAGGAGGTTTCTGCATTATTGTATCTTTACACCTTCTAGTAAGCCTCTCCCTACAACCTGCACTGCCCTGAATATACAGCTTACGACTCCCAGTGGAGTAGGGTGATGCATAGAAGTATATATAGTTACATCTTCCTCCTTTCAATAAGTCTGCCACCTGTTGGGGACCCAAAGTCTTGGTTCAATCCTCAGTTGCAATGTTTACCAGAGTTGTCTGTTTTTCTGTCTCGCTTATCTTCAGATAAAAGGTATTTTAAACAATCTAAATGCAAAGTGGTATTAAATTCTATTTTTATCCCTACTACATTTATTTGAGTTACATTCTCCCAACAGACACCAAGAGAGAACAGTATCCTTTCCCTCCCTCGTTCTTCCCTAGTAAGAGAGGGGAGTATTCTTTCTTTACATAAGGGGTACTGACAGCAGTAGCTTTTTGTTGCTAGGGGAGAGAGGAGAGGTAGGCCATGGACAGGCATTTATTTCTACCACCGCAAATTTCCCAAATTCCTGGGAAATTAGCAGTGGTAAAAATCTTCCCAAGAGAGGGAGCATACATGTATTCTAGTCTGTAGATGCCTCTTTGCTTCCACTATCTTCTCCATATGGGGAGAGTAGTGATAGCTGACCTTCTTCTGAGGATGGGAGTACAGCTGTGGGGAAATGCCCCTGCATCTTTCCCAGTCTGGGGTCCTTCTGGTCTGGGGAGGGTGCAGGGAAAGCTGCAGCTGGACTTCTGTGCTCAGGAGAATACAGCTGCTGCTGCTCTCTGAATCTTCCCCAAACCAGGAAAGACCCAATTATGGAGGAGTTAAGCATACAGGTGTTCATTTTACCAGGAGAAGATCTCACATGAGAGACCTTCCAAGTGACTAAGTGGAAGACCTTTCTAATGCATAGGGCATGTTTCCTCTGCAAGAAATTGAATGAAAGCCTGTACACTGGAAGTTTCTGCCAGGAAAGCAACAATTTTCCCCGTGGAAATATAATGCCTGTACATGTGTTTAGATGCAGCTGACTCTAACTGTGCAAGTCATACCCCTCCCAGCTGAAGTCCCTCCTCATCGTACCCATAAATGAGAAAGGAGTTTATACTACCTGGCAAGGGAAGCTTATGGCTCTGCATAAGGCAGCAAATTCTGCAACATGTGGTCATGGCATACAGGATCCAGCATATTACCTTGAATTAAAATGAATAAAGCCTTCATCAGAAATCTGTAAGCTAAAAACTCTTCCACATTTACAGAAAAAGATATAATACCTTATTTCACAAGTACTGCCATTGTAAACAAGGTCGGTCCAGTTTGGTCATGGAACTTAGGCAAAATTTAAGATTCTAAATTTCAAAGAACAGTCTTTGAAGCCACAAATCAGCCCCAAATTCCTTAGCTGCATACATGGAACTTTTGCACATGTGCAAAAATTGTTCAGTACACTCAGTATAATCATGCCCAACTTGCATCAAAAGCACTGCATCACAAAAAATGACAATTTTGGCAGTGTCCACCTTTAGTCGAATAGCCTAGTGCATAGAACAAAAAAGGAAGTCTGCAATGGTAGCTATTATTGCAGTTATAACTATAAATGCAAATACACTCAGTAGATCTTTATTGACATTCTTTATTTCTTCTGTAAATTTTCATTGGTACCAGAAATGTCTGGGATAAGCACTAGAGATCTGTAGCATGACTCAATGAGTCAGTGGCATGTGCCTAAGTAAGCAATGCTGGATTGTTAGGGTGGAGCTAAAACCAATTCCACCCTTTAGACAATGCCTATGGCATCTGTCAGCCATTGATATACTTCCATAGTTCCAGTATAACTTTGTATTGTTCATTTAAAAAAAAAAACCCTATAATCTTTGTGTCTCCAAGGCCCCTCCCAGTTTTACCTGCCTCCCTTCCCACCACAGATGTTCCCACCACAGACATATTATTGTTCACATACATTTAAATCAACCTGGGGGGGAGAATTTGATGCAGAGGAAAAGGGCCTAAGCTGCTTCCCAGAATTATTTTCTGTAAGATCAAGAGGTTGTAGTACTCAGGAAATGCTTAATATATTTGTTTATATACCAGATAGAAGAGATTTGTATAGCATTTAAACATCTTGTTACCATTTCAAATCAAACTCTTTTTCTTCTGCATACTCCCTGGTAATGGTTATAAACTTACAACATTTTAGAACAGGACTTGATCCTGTACTGATTAAAGTCAATGGGAATTTTACTGATTTTGTTCATGAGTAAGAATCAGACCCAACAGGAAGGATGCTTAAGCCATTTTATATATTTTGGTGTGGATTATAGTGCTTGTTTCTATGATCTTAGCTCATTAAATGACATATTTCATGCCAGGATCCTTCTTCTAGGTGTGAAGGTGGCATTACACATTTGTGCTGTTTTTCTTAGGTTTGACTGGCTAATTCAATTTTAGTATTCATGTCCATTCGTGTAAAAGAGAGAACAGATGGATCTCAATACAAATCAACAAATTCTGGGTAACTGAAGCCTAAAAATATTAGGTGGTTAAATGATGAACATCTGTTGATGTAAATAACTGTTCCTTGTTCAACGCTTCTGATGTTTCCTTGTCGTATAAAACAGTTATGAAATTCAACATTGTGAAATAATAATGTTTAATCCCTGAAAAGGGGAAAAAAAATCTTTCTTCTCTAGAGCCAAAACTACTTAAGATAATATGTATGGCCTTTTAACAACTAATTAACAGAACAGATGACTTTGTTTGCATAGCATAAGAATTCTTGGAGATCTACAGACTAAAAGACCTGAAGGTTTTTTATATGATCCTTAATGAATATTCTGTACACAAGTATTTTCTATATTTATGTATAATAGAAAGATGTCCTGAAATATAAACATCAACCTGAAAATTTACTATCGATTCTTCACATTTCTGTATTAAGAGAATCAAAAGCGTGTAAATATTTTAATTTTGCTATCCAAAAAGTCTTTCCTTATGTGTGTAATTCCTGTTAATGTTGATTTGATGAGAAGTGCCTTTGAGAAAATATCTGGAGTTAAGAATTGATTTATCCAGCCCAATTCTGAGAGTTTACAGATGGTTAACATTTCTCAGGATCAGGCACAAAAATTATTACAGCCACAAAAACTAGTATATGTACAACAAATAGAGAAAAAATAATTTCAAGAATAACTCATTCCAGAAGTGAACGAGATAGAAAAGTTTTTATCTTTCTTTGACTTTGGAGCAGACACATGTATCACTTAAAGCCATGATATTGCATGAACTTAAATTACTTTCCCAGCATTGAGCCCATATGACTAGACCAGGGGTGGGCAAAATGCGGCCTGGGGACCAGATGCGGCCCGCCAGGCTATTCTATCTGGCCCACGGGCCCCCTAAAAAATTTAGAAAATTAATATTTATCTGCCCCTGGCTGCCTATCATGCAGCCCTCGATGGCTTGCCATAACTCAGTAAGCGGCTCTCCGTGCAAAATAATTGCCCACCCCTGGACTAGACTGTGTTGTTTAATAGGGCCCCACACACCCAATGTAGTACCAGGCAACTCAAAGTATTTTGGCTGTGGTACCTAATCTCCCTTTTTTTGGTCTTTGCCAGAATTACCAAAGAGCTCAAGCTCTACTCCTTCCTCACTTCGAACACGCTCCAGCAAGTTGCTAAAATTCTCCATTCACTTTGGTTTTGGTGGGAGTTCATAATGTTCTTCAGTTCACAGGGTACATTCAACATCTTGCCAGATCTGTTCCTTAATTGGGAACATATGATGGCTAGGCAGAGGTGAGGCAGAAATGGAGTCCTGTCAAAGTTGGAGGGAGAGGATGGATCCCCTACATGCCTCATTTCACAATAGACTTTTAAATATGCATCATTAAGCATAATTTAAATAGTGTTAAAGGGCCATTATGATTTTTAAAGAATTACAAATCTCAAAAGTTCCTGCACATATTTTATTGTGGAATGTTACATAAATATGCTTAAATATGACACACTTTTTGTATTGCTCCATCTTTTTATACCTTACCAATTTGTTTTGTTTGTTTTTTCTTACCACTAAGATGATGTTGGAGCAATTCCAATAAAACATTTTCCAAAACACGTTGCAGATTTACATGCAAGTAATGGTTTTACTGAAGAATTTGAGGTATGGTTCTATAATATCTTTTTTTTTTAATAAAGCTACAAATAATGTCAGAACACAATGTATTTGAAAGCAAAGAATTAAATACTCTATCCTCATTGTGGAACCAGTACTAAAAATGCTTGTGGATGTGAGTACCTTGAACCTGATAAGATTACTAATATACATACAGCCCTCCGTGTATATATATATATACATATACACTTACTGTTAGCAGCATTGGGGTCCAAACAAGAATTCTGGCTCAGCTGAGCTACTACTGAAAGACTATCCAAATAGAATAGTAAAATTACACACTGCAATTTGTCAGATATACATTTTTTTAAATGTTTTTCAATAATAAAACCAGTTAAACTTGCAGATACTTGCCAGGCTTATTCAAAACTTTTATACAAAAAATTGTAAATTGCTATATCTTCCTAGAGTTCTGATTACCAAGTGAAATAATACATATATGAGAGTAAGAATCTTAGACTTATTATATTATTGTATAATATTATGTGTTTCTCAAAATTGGCACAATTGATTTCATCCTACAATTAATTCATTTTGCCCTTTGTAACTAGTGAATTTCAGTGTAAATTAAAATACTCATATGTAGATCATTAAAAGGCTTTTGATAAACATTTTTATTTTATCATGTAATGTATTTGCATAATTTATTAACATATTTGTCAAGCTAATTTATAAAATAAGAATCAACAGTTCTATTTTTATATTCAAAGATTTATTGTTAAATCTTCTAGATGCACTCCAAAATAAATAAATTGCGGAGGCATATTTAAGATTGGTAATTAAATCATTTTTATTAATTTTAAACACTCAACATTTTATAGTTGCAATTTAAAAAAACAAAACAAAAAACAACCCTAGAATTGAGGAAACTTGTCCAGATTGTTTCATTTTGTTTCTCAGTCCATTCTCAATTTAGGCCAGAAATTCTTCTACGTTCACCTACCCTACTCTTAAACATTTCCTTCATGGACAGAAATCTTAAAACTCAACCTATATGGCCTACAGACATTCTCCCATTAATTCTCAGACAAATACATCAGTATCCCACCATAAATAGAAATCCAGTGTACAAAGCATACCCTTTACTCTCAATTTCCCATTGTGGTACAGACTGCACATTATTCAAAATATATTGTTCAAAATCAATTTTATTCATGGTGTCGTTGTGCCTAACAGGGGGAACCCAAGCTCCCTATCCGTCACCTAAAGTCCTTGCTTGGTCTGTAAACTGCCCCAGAATAGCTGCCGTCAGTTTTCTCTCTACCCCTGCAGTATTTACAAAACATGCAAGACTGAACTGAAGTTGTAGTCTTTGCAGAGCTGTCAGAACTATTATTCCAATAGTTTTACTTCTATTATTATAAAACAAATTATATTTCAAAACCTAATTTAGCAGGTTAATAACCTTTAACTGTGACTAGCAACCTTTCCTTGTATTCTTTTTTTATCTTAAAAAACTGGAAAGGAAGATATTTTGGCTCTAGGATGAGTCCCTGAACAGTTCAAGAAACATAATTATCATTTGTTTAGACCACAGAAATATAGTTCCTGCTTAACAGTGCAATTTTAGAGGAGCTTGAGCTTTCTCTTGAAATTAAGGACTCCATCAAATAAAAACTGAGTTAATACTGTCAAGATTTTGTACAATCTTATGGCTTTTGCCCTTGATTGTGGAACCATTAAGCAGTCCTTATTAATCCACTGAATGTAGTACAACAGCTTCTGTGAATAAGGGTTACAGTATCAGGCCTTAATATACCAGAATATTATCACATGAACATATACAAAGTGAATACAGCCCTTCTCCAATGGAAGTTTTAAAATTTACTTCAATAAAAGCATGAGAATTCTTGTGTATCATTTATTTCTTATTTTGATAAGAAAGAAATAAAAATTTAACCCAGTTATATGGACCAAGAACTAATGACTTGATCCTGTGAACCTTTATGAACCTACAAATATTTATTGAACATGAAGAGATTACTAATGTGCATAAGTGCTCTCAGGCCTATGGCCTAAGTTAAGTCAGTCGTTATCATGAAAACTATTATTCAGAATTGTTCATTTCTTTTCCTTGCATGTATTACGTCAAAAATATTCAGCTTTATTGCAGTATTGTAAACATATGTATTGCATGACCATAATTGTTTTCCATTATAATTGTAATGTGTATAAGCACTTTTATCCATTTGTTGTGTGCTGTGGAATTTGATTTTTTTTTACTTTTTTTGCATTCATTCCCTCATTAGACACTTAAAGAGTTTTACCAGGTAAGAAATTATTTCACTACACTTTTTTAGAAAAGTAGTAGTTGGTAATATAATTTGGTATACGGTTGTGGGGTTTTTTTATTTTAACTCCTATTGTAAGACTTTATTTCTGAGCTATTATTTATTCAAATAGCACATGCACACTTTCTTTTCAGGAAATCCAGAGCTGTACCATAGATCTAGGTATTACTTCAGACAGCTCTAATCACCCAGACAACAAGAATAAGAATCGATACATAAATATTGTTGCCTGTAAGTAAACACATACACTTGGTGTTGTATCTTAGAGGTCAGTGTGGAAAATTGTAGACTTATGTGTTATCACAGGAAAATATTCATGTTGATCTGAAAAATAGGGCTCCTATTAAGGCAAAATGTTCTGTGAGAAGCAAAATAGCTTTTCATATCTTGTTAAGTTATTTCTCTGAAATTCTGCTTCCATAACGAAATAGCATTTGCTATTGAGGCCTATTTAGGCTTTTGTGACAAGCCAAAAAAGGATGGCAGACTTCATTATAATGCCAAGGAAGCTCTGTTTTGATTACCAAAGTTAATCCATCTTTGAGCTGGAATAAGGATGATTTATCCTCTTTAGGAGGCTGCAGAATCCCAGGATCTGTATTTGCTGAACATATATAAGTATAGGTCCACAGTTTTCAGGTTGTATTGTGCCCAGTCTCATTAATAAATCAACTTCAGTAATAAATCAGTTTCATTACCTAGAACAAATGTTTCAATTGCTTTTCCTCTCTCCACCATCCCAGTAATTTTTAGCTAAAGTGTCTTTATTTCTCTTTCTCAATCTTTTTTTGAAGTCAGTGCCTCTAGCTTCCTGATCATTTATGTGGCTTATTTTTTTCTGAACTGTCTGCATTTTATCAATAATTTCTGGTAACAAATGAGGAATGTCCTGCATTTGAAAGCTTGCCTAATTTGATCCCAACTACATAGTTGGTCTGATAAAAGATATCACCCTAGGAAATGGTTGTCTATTGCAGAATTACATAAGTATTCTCGGAGTAGTTGTCACAGAACTTTATTGATAAAAGGACAAATTCAGCACATCTGGCAAATGAACGTGAACATTATATCTTCAGTACCAAGGATGCTCACTATATTCCACTGGGATTTCACCATGATGGAAAGGCAGTTAGCAATTTGCATCTGATACTTTATAGGAGTACTACCAATGTGGTTTTGGTCATTTTCTGGAAGGTTTTTAGAGATCATGCATAGCAGTAAAACTTTCCAGAGCAGTTCATGTTTTGAGGATATTGGCTGCCTATATGTCCCAAACGCAGGACAGGTTGTGGCCACTCAGTGCAGCCAGTTACCCCAGAGACTTGCTATAGAACCCCAGTTTATGCCCACAAAGGTTATTGTAAACTGAGTCACATCTGACCTAAAAACTTTGTTTACGGCCTCTAATGAAGAGTGATCTATGTAACCTGCCCAAACTGCCACTGCTGCTGTTATTATTATTTGCTACTGCTTTTGTATCTCACTACAAATTCATGGCAAGGTCTTTATTGATTATCATATTTACATCATCCATAGCGGGATAATGATATTTTTCATAGGAACCTTATCTTTCTATCAGTTGTACGTACACATTTTCCATTCACTTAAAAACGGAATTGCACATATATAACTGACACAGTGATCATCTTTTCCTCACCCCTTAAATAGGCTTCTTACTATTTTTGAAATCCAGCTCCTGCTGTGTATTAGCTTATATTTTTCCAAACTGAAATTTTCAATCTGATTCTCTGTAGTCATCACTGTACTACCTATATAAATATGCTAATATTCAGTTTTCTTATTTAACTTTGAAAAGTTTCTTGCAGGAAAAGAACTGTGCTTTTTTAAATGCTGTGCTTATTTTATCTTTTGGTTTCACTGCAGATGATCACACTAGAGTTAAGCTAGCACAGCTTGCAGAAAAGGATGGAAAACTGACTGATTACATTAATGCCAACTATGTTGATGTAAGTGCATTTATTTATCATTCTGTCCATATATTTCTGAGATGGCTGAGGTGCTGGACCATTCAGGTTTCATAAAATACATGAATTCTTAAATATTTGTAAATAAAAGGCCTTTAAACAGATCTTTAAGGATTTAACTCTAAACCCACAAAAGATGATATGCAGATAAATCTCTAATTCCATCTTGAACCCATCTTCTTGCATGTAGCTATTGTAGAGTCTTCAGAACAGTGGGGGATTTTATGTCTTATAAAGTTGTATAAAGTATCTCCACTCTCAATGGAGTGGAGTATTTTCAAGAATTTGCAAAAATTAGTATGTTATTTAATTCTTCTGTCTGGTATAATCTCATGACATGTATCTGCCATTCAGGTCAGCCTTGGGGAGCATCATTTATTTAATTTTAGTAACCCCATCATTCATATGAATGATACTGTTTTATTTCACACATTAATATCATAGAAGATGTTTTCTAAAAGTCTGTCATGTCAGTATTCTGCCGGAACAGAGAGTAGTTTAATATGTATTCAGATTCTATTCCTTTTGTTGGGATGTTGCACACTGACATAGTAATTCCATCCACATTGCATCTACCACAGGTTTTATCTGAATGGTGTGCTTATCACTGCAAAAGTATGTAAAAATGCATGAGAATTTTCATAGTAATACATGTCTAAAATATCATGTTCTCTCCCTAGCACCTTTTTTCATATAAACTGGGCATGTCTACATATGCGAGGATTAAGGAGAAAATTTGCACCCAGTTCCCTGCAGACCTGCAATTGGCCCATGTTGCCACCAGGGGGAGTTCTAGGCTCCCCCTGGGTGCTAGCCCAGGGCCAGGCAGGGAGCACTGGGCCAGGAGACAGGAGTCAGGGGATAGTGCAAGCAGATTGGGGCAGGGGGCTGGGACCTACCCCACCCCTGCAGCTCTTTCCAAGCCCCGTGCTGTCATCACCCAATTGGGGCACAGGGCTGGGACCTGCCCCTGACAGGGACAGTTCCTAGCAAGCCCCAGGCTGCACGAGGAAGTCCGCATGTGCAGCTTGAAGCTGGCTGGGGACTACCAGAAACAGAATAGTCCTCAGCCACCACCAGGCTGCACATGTTTCCCTGTATACCCTAGGGCTGTCTGGGAACTGTCTTGGTCAGGGGTAGGTCCCATCTTGAGCTCTGTGGGCACAGGGCTTACTCTTGGAGACCCTTATGTCCTAACCTGAGCTCCATGACTGTGGTGCTTGGGCTGGCCGATAATGATCTCCCAGCCCTACTCCGTGATTGCAATCTCAGAACAGAGGGCTTGGAGCTCCCTGCTGCCAGGGCAGGGGGACATAGTCGCCACCCGGGCTCCTGTGATGAAGCCCACCCCGGCAGCAGGCAGCTCCTGGGGACAGGAAGCCATCTTCTGCCGCTGGTGAATCGCTGACTGGGAGCTGATTTTGTTCCCAGTCAGGTATCTACATGAGTGCTACAGTGCCATTACTAATGCCAAGTAAATTTGCTACTTGCATTTGCAGGTAGCAAATTTATTTAGTATTAGGGAGGTTTACTACAAAGTAAGCATGTGCATGTGTAGGCGCGCATACTTATTTCATAGTAAACTATGCTAATGCGAAGTTAAGTGTCTTGTGTAGATGCACCCACTGTAAACTAACAAGTGACATTTATTTTATTTTAATTTAGGGTTACAACAAGCCAAAAGCTTATATTGCAGCTCAAGGACCATTAAAATCAACAGCAGAAGATTTCTGGAGAATGATATGGGAGCACAATGTGGAAGTCATTGTAATGATAACTAACCTTGTTGAGAAAGGAAGGGTATGAAAACCTTTATGTACCTTTATATTACCTGTTTTTTACTGATGACACACACTAAGATTTCTCTTTTAGGTGCCTGTTCCCCTGTCTTTTTCCAATTCTGTTGCTGTAAGGGTCATAGCAAGTGAAGACACTAATCTGCTGATTAATGCAAGATCAGTGATAAAAAAAAAAGGCAGTCGTCTTAGACCTTATTCAGGATGAGGCCTTCTAAAGGTGCAGATCTCCATCCTCCCAGGGGGATCTCACAGATCTTAGTAGACTGGCTAGGGGGACTAGGACCACAGCTGGTAGAGAGATGTCAGTACTTCCCCCTGAGAGGGCAGAGTACCAGACACTCTTAAATCTGCAATTGGCCAGAGTCTATTCTAGAAACCAACTTTTAATGCTGACTCCCCAGCCAGGTGTTACCCTGTTTCCACCTCCACCCAGCCCCCACACCTTTTTTTTGGCACAGGTTATTGAATGGGTTCCTGGACCTTTGTCAGTCTGGCTTTCTTCCAGGATATTGCATGGAGACTGTATCTGTGGCCTTGGTCAGCAGTTTTCGCTTAGAGCTATTCAGGGGAAACTGTGCCCTGTTGATCTTAATAGATCTTTCAGCAGGTTTTGATATGGTTGACTATGAGGTGTTGCTAAAGTGCTTACATAACTTACATAATAAATAAACCATATAATTGGGCCCAGTGTGATGCATAAAAGTGTCTTAAATGTTAATACAAAATAAAAATATTAAAGATTAGTTATATTAAATACTAAATACATAATATTCAATAATTCTTGACTAGACAAGCCTGATGATATGCCAAATTGTAATGGTTATCTCTCTCAGTGTTGTTACAGGGATGCAACTAACATGGTTTTAGTCACATGTAGCTTCTGCCAAGCCTTAGATTAAATCATGATTAGAGAGAAGCAAAATAATCAGAATTTCTATCTACACAGCGCAAGGGGGGGCTAGCAGGGCTTAGCACCCCCAAATGCGGGGCAGTGGTAAGAGCACAAGGCAGCCTGGCTGCAAGTTTCTGGCAGCTGCAGCAGGGGTGTGGAGGGGTGCACGCGCAGCTGTGAGGGAGGGAGTGGGACTGGGGCAGGCTCTGCACAACGGGGCAGGGCATGGGACTGGGCCACAAACAGCTAATCTGGGGAGCATGGGTCCTGCTGCTACATGCACCCCGGGAGGCATGGGGGGCGTGTGCCCCCAGATCTGCATGGGATGAGGGTGGGCTGCTGCTGCAGGCCAGGGCTGGGGCTATGCCAGGCTCTTCCTGGTGGTGGGGGGTACGCCGGGCTGCACTCAAGGTAGGTAGTGACAGCACTGGGAGGGTGGGTTAAAGGGGGGCTGCAGCCACCTCAAAATTTGTCATAGCCCCCCAACTCCCCCTCCCAATTCCCCACTGTCCCCCCCAAGTGCAGCCCGGCCCAACCCCCCGCCAGGAAGAGCCTGGCTCCAGCCCACAGCCCACCTTCAACCCACATGTAGTTCTTGGTCACCCGCCCCCTCCCCCCCCCCCGACAAGCCACTCATGGCTCTGTCCCACACCCTGCCCTGGCTGTGCAGGGTCTGCCCCTGCTTCAGCCCTGCTCCCTCCCTCACTGCCATGGGAGGGTGCAGATCAAGGCCCCAGCGGTGAGGGAGGGAGTGGAGCACAGGCAGGAGCAGGGGACGGAGTGAGTGGGTCCTGCCTGTGCCCCGCTCCCTCCCTCACTGCTGGGGCCCTGATCTGCACCCCCGATGGCCCTTTCCCATCCCCCTGCCCCTTCCCCCACAGACTTACCTGCTGGGAGGGTGTGTGCGTGCATGTATGTACACGCTCAGCCCCCCCAAATAATTTTTGCTCCCTCTGCCTATGAGTATCTTATCACTATTTTATTATTAAAGAAAAAAATATAACAAATTGAGAAAACAGAACACAAGCAGCAAACAATGAGTGTTTCAGGCCGCTGACAGAAGTTAATTTAAAGGTGTGATGGGATCTAATCCTAACAGTGGCCTGCGTGCATGACAAGGCATGATTTTGGGATCAGAGATCAGATCCAAATCATACTGTACTTGTTAGTGCAAGGAAGAGCCTGGGATAATGATCAACTAATGATCAAAATACATGTAATAACTTTGTGGCAAATTTCTTGTTTTATTGCACCATTAATCGTCTGAACCAGGTTACACTGTAAGATGCTATTAACTGGTTGATCATGTCTTAAGTTAAATGTCTGTCATGGGCCTCAGATACAGTCTCTTCTGTATAGTTCTCTGTAGAGAGTTTTAACATGGTTTACATCTTAAGGGTAGACTGGTCTCTCTGGAGACACTTTGTCCTATATAAGATAATATTATACTAAAATGATATTGATCCCAGTATCAGTAGTGTGTCCTTTTTTTTCCTATCCTAGATAACTAAACAGTCTATAGGGACAGGGAATTTTGTTTAACAGATGGCAAATCCTGTTTATTTTATCATGGATAACAACTGAAATAATTTATAAAAAGATAACACTGAGTGATTTTTTTACTAAGTCCTGTGGACCCAAGGGAAGTATCTAGATTCAGTTACTTTTTAAAAAACCATTCAGGAACAATCTTGAAAAATCCAGTTTAATTAATATCAAGAATCTTTCATGTCAATTAAATCGCACCATTTCTATTTACCAGACTTTACTTATGTTGTCTTACCACTGTACAAAATGAATAAATTTCACAGAATATAAGGACGAATGAATGTCTCAGTTCAGAGAAATGTATGTTCTTTTCTATAGTCTCCCTGAAGGTGTAAGTAGGAACTCTTTTCTGGAGCTTTGCTGGAGTCGGATTGTCCATTGCCACCTTCCATTGGTTCAATACCTTCATGGAAAGGTCTTGGTAGTAAGGTCTTGGTAGCATTTTTAGTGAATGAGAATGTGAAACCTGCTTTTGACTATGAAGCAGAGATGTAAGTTTTTTAGTGTTATAATTAAACTTTTGTCTTTTTGGCAGGAAACTGCTAGAACATCTCTATACTAATGGCTTTTACTTCATTTTCTGTCATAACCTTTTAGTACCATCAAAGTTTAAGAAAAGTATTGCTGAAAGGGACCTCTTAAGGTCATCTACTGTAACCCTTAAAAAAAAATGGATGTGTGGCCGAGAGTGGGCCAAGGCAGCCAGGGTCTTGAATGCAGGACCTTGGGCTGGGAATTGAGAAGGTTGACCCAAATGTTTTTCATTCCTGTATCAAAATCCTTCAGTTCTTAAAATAACCTTTTTAACGTACACGATTGTGAAAGAGAGTCTTTAGAGTTAAATAGTTATAAAAGAAGTTATTGTCTTTTCCTCTTAATGTGCTTTGTAAACAGCTTTTTTCTTTCTGAGTTTGGTAAGGAATTACTAAAACATTCCCAGATAACTATTTACACTACTTTCCAAATTAGTGTCGCTATTTATACATTTATCCATGGCTTCTTCCATTTCATTTTTAATATCACATAATTTTGTTATAATTGTCCAGAATTCATCTTATTATTCATAAAACTATGGTATCAAGAAGTTAGTGTATGAAGACTGACATTTAGATTAAAATGTGCACAAATCTGCATCTCAGCAAAAGTCTTTGCTATTTTAAGCACTGAGAGAATGCAGGTTTTCATCTCAAAAGCAAACATGAAATAACTTATGTTTTGTAAAACATTTTTACCACCATAAATGTTTGTCCTGACATTTTTAAAAATGGGGACTTCACAGTATGGGTACATCCAAGATTTACCAGAGGCATACTGCCTCCCAGACCATGGGCGAATGGGGGAGAGGCATGGATCAAGCTAGAATCAGGTGCTTGAAGTGGGGAAGAACAGGTGGCTGCTGTCGCTCCTGTTGTCTCCAGCTGACCCAAATATGGGTGAAACCCTAGAGCTGCTCCTGACCTGCTCCTGCTGGGGACTGCAGGAAGAAGCTGCATGGGGTGCTGGGTTCAGTTGGGACAAGAGTGGCAGCACACAGGTTCCTCCTTCCAGCACCTGCTCCCTGCCCTACCCCAGCCCCCAGGTGTCCCCTGCTGGCCAGGAACAGGTGCTGGAAGAAGGAACCCACCCCCTGCCTCCACCACTGTCCCTGGTCGACACAGGCACAGTAGGGAGGCCAGACCTGCTTCTGACCTGACCCTGCTCCACACTGCAGGAGTGGCTGTGCATGGAGCTGGGCTCAGCTGGGGACATAACACACAAGTTCCAGTTTAAGAATTGTTCATATTGCTTCAATACTGAATGGAATTTATTTTTGTGATGTGAAAGGATAAAAAGCATTACATTTTAAAAATTTGCTTAAAGCTCTGAGGACTTATTCTAAGTGTCACTTCTCTTCAGCATATCCTGAATGAAAATGTTCTTTTACATAACATATCTGTGCTAATACATAAATACACTTAGAAACTTGTTGAACTAATGATCAACTATGCTAAACTTGGTGCATATGGAATTCCCATTGACTTCTATGGGATTTTGTACCCTCAAATTAGTTCATTTTATTGATACATTTTCAAACCATGTTTTTGTTCTTTATAACAGAGGAAGTGTGACCAGTACTGGCCTGCTGATGGTAGTGAAGAATATGGGAATTTTTTGGTCACTCAGAAGAGCGTTCATATACTTGCCTATTACACTGTGAGGAATTTTACTATTAGAAACACCAAGGTCAAAAAGGTTGGTGACATCTCAAAGCACTGTCTGTACACAGGCATTTTTATAACATTCACAACTTAAAAATATATATTAACTGCTTGATGTTACATATTAACAGTTGAATCCTTCAGATTTTCAGCTAGATCTAGCTATTAAAAGGTTGAGTATTCAACTGCGCCAAGACTGAAAGGATTAGCCTACACTGATAGGGTCATAACCTTAAGGTCATAGACAGACAAAACTTTCTTCAACTTCAGAAGAGCCACATGTTCCCTATCTAATGCCCAGTTAGAATATTAATGGTAATTGCTATTGACAATATATGTTCTCTTTCTTAACAAGTACAGGCATGAACAGACAGTCATGTATCTTATGTAATTTACACCAGTTTTGTGCTGTAAACTGCACCAGAATCATCAGTGCAGACATCTTGGAGTAGCTTATACATTAGGTGGTTCTTACTGTGATTTGCCACTAGGCAGAAGAGGAGCAAGCAATAACTTGCTAGCATGGGCACAGACAAAGCAACTTAAGGTGTAACTTTATCCAAATATAATTTTATCCAAGATTGTCTTGGGGATAATTCTCCACTGAATTGGACAAAGTTCTATTTAGGAGATTGTATTGTCTGTCAGCTACTTATTTACATCAGTGCAATGCTGATGATACCAGTGCAAATGTTCCAGCTATCATGGGTTATCTGAGAAGATCGTGAAAATATCAGACTAGATTCTCCTCTTACTCAAATTGGGAATAATGCTAATGAAGGTGGTCACAGTCTCATTTTACTGACATCAAAGGCAACCTGCTGTTGATTCTCTGGTTTACACAAGTGTAAATGTATATGCGATTGCGAAAGGAATAGGAGAGTAAGATATCTTGTATGTATTAGAAATGGCAGCAAGGAACGTAGTAAAAAACAGCCCTGCTGTCACTTCTAAAAAAAAATGAAGCTTGAGCTCTGAATAGCTCTTTAATCCTTCAACCATCTGGTGCTGAGTGACTAGAGCTGGGTCATTTTACCATTCATTGCTGACAGAAACATTATCTTTCCGTTTGCATGCTGGATTTAGATTGTGATTTCCCCCTAGATTCCTAGCCCCATCTAGGACTTCGTTCAGTACTTAGTAGTATCAGTTGAAACCAATTGGCCCATAGTGTTCCTTTGGAGGGAAGACACGGGATGGCCATTATAGCATATCTCTAACTACATGCTTCTGCTGTTAGTATTTGAAAAGCTTGGTGTAGATTTTACTGAATAGGGACTAAGGTAATTCAAGCACAACATAAAGCATTAAACTACACAAATAAAACAGGAAACAAATGACCTTCCTCTTGCTTCATCTCTTTATATATATGTATATATATTTATTTTCTGTTTCAGGGTTCCCAGAAAGGAAGGTCCAGTGGGCGTGTAGTAACACAGTACCATTATACCCAGTGGCCTGATATGGGTGTTCCAGAATATACTCTGCCTGTGCTCACTTTTGTACGGAAGGCATCATATGCTAAGCGCCATGCTGTTGGGCCTGTTGTGGTTCATTGCAGGTGTGATTTTTTACTTCAGTAAAATTCACTTTAAGTTGTATCTTATTTGAAAAAAAAATGGATTTCTGGCTGGGATATTAAACACATTTTACAATTAATATTAAATAACTTCTGAAGAAGGAAGATGAAATCCTGTAGTAGTAGTTCTAGCTATTATAAAGCTGAGTACTCAGCTGTGCAAGTTCTTTGAGGGTATGTCTACATTAATAGTATCATCCTTAAGGTCCCTACAGCCACCAAGGGGGTTTACACATGTGTTCCAGGAGTTGGGGAGGGGGAGGTCACTTTAGTTAGAGCAACTCTGAGAGCCACTTGAATTAAAGCACCCAGAGCATCTTGCGTATCAGTGTCCCCATGCTGAAAACAACAAGCTTTAGTTAAAGCGCCCCCACCATCATTTTGCAGCATGGGGACACTAATACACAAGACACTGGAGGCTGCTGGAGCACGGTAATTACCACACTCCAGCAGACTCAATTAATTGAGTCCGCTCTGATGCATTGTAATTACAGCGCGTTGGAGCAGCCTCGCCTTTCATGTATAGGCACCCCAACAGTTTGTACTAGTCTTAACTCAACCCCTAAAAGCCGTCTAGCTTGACCATGGAAGGTCTGCTGAGCTTGCTGTTTAAAGTTAAACCTATCTCCTCTTGCCTTCTAGTCTCCTTTCTGCAATTTGAGCATGACGGACTTTGAAAGTCTGTCAGTATCAATCTCACAATTCTCTAGTCTCGACTTCTGACTCTTGCACTGCACTGCACTTCCTTTCTCTAAGAGTAAAAATGTGTCTTGGAAAAAATATGAATAGTTCACAAATTGATTCCTAGAAGGGCTCCACTTCTCAAATAAGAAGCACAATGGTAAAATGTAGGATATGAGGCCCTGCCACACATTATATGTATTACTCATTTAACTGGTTAATTGTGTAAAAAGTTTAGACGGGCTACATGTGCAGAGTAATTACTACACAATGAACTAGTTAATCAAATTTAGTCTGGCCACATGTGCAAAGTAATGATTATGCAATTACCTGGGTAATTGTGCAATGAAGTTAGACCTGCCACAAAGTAATTATCATGCCATAAGGATGTCCATTCCGCTATAAAAAAGAGCCATCCAGCTATAAAGTTTGTGCTTGAAAATGTGTAACAACTTTAAAGCTGGTTTCCATCCTGCTTTAATTTGAATGTGGCAGGGCCCATAGATATGGAGAGGAAGGATGAGATCACATGGCTCAAAGTGATTGAAGGCAATTGGTGCTGACCATAAAAATCATTGTAGATATACCTGAATCTCCCAGTGACTGTAAACAAGGGGATGCTGCTCTGTGCAACATTCATTTTTTTGCAAAATGTATTTTTATTTAATTTTTATGCATTTATATATTGCTTTTTTGGTAGCTAAGGATTTACCTGACAGGTATATAGTTTTAATTGTTCACTTCTACAAAGATATGTATCTTCAGTGTTTTCAGCCCATTGTTTTTTTCAGCTGTTTGGTGCAGGGATACAAAACAATTATAGAAAGAGACTATACTACAAAAGAACAAATATATTTCCTGCCAAGCTACAACTCTTGTTCTTAATATTGCTCTATGCTCTGTCACTGGCTTGCAATGGAGGAGAATTCTGGGGGACTGTAGGAGCTCTGCATATGCTTCCAGTTGCAGGCAGGTGTGCTCCTAATGCTCACTAAGACTGAAGCTGGTAGGGAAAATTGGTTGAAAGTTGCTTGTAGGCCCTGGGATTACTTCACAATACCAGTGGAGACCAGGTCATTGTAAAATATATAAGCAGGTTCTGATTTTCCACTATAGTACGTCAACTTTGATGGAACAATTGAAAAGGGAACCTCCTCATGAAATCTGTCCTTCTGGAGCTGATTCTGATGAAGCCCACAGGTAAAGTTGCTTCAGAAATGCTGCAAACAAAGATATTTTTTCTGGGATGATCTAATTTTTCTGAAACTTATTTTTCTCCTGGGAAAATCAAATTACCATGTTTTCTTTGTTATGATGATATCTCTGCTCTGTGAAGTCCAAAAGCAGAGCTTCCAAGAATGTGGGTTGAGGTCTATGTCCAAAGAAGGCAGAGATCTTCAACATAATATATTGTCATTTTTTTAGCAATGGTAAGTTGTATGGTTTCAGTCAGACTTCTCCAATGAGTCACATGCAGATAGTTTTGTAAGCTAGTTGTTTTGATTCCCTTTTCAGGTTACACAAAGAAAATATTCTTAACAATGACATTTTACTTCCTTATGTTCTTTCTTTAATGGTTTTGTTGATCCACTTTTGTAATTGTATAAGTAAAGATTGTGCCGGGCAGTATTTTTAATATAATATGTCTTAATAATGTGCTGTTAACATGGACACATTCGGTGTTACATTTTTGTGTTCTTGCTAAATTTTGCACTGGGGTCAGGTCCAAACCATTCTCATAAGTACTTCCATTTAGGCACTGAAATAGCTAAATAAAGAAGTCTTGCCCGATGACAGAGATGCTAATTGACAGGGTTTGGCTTCTAGGATCCCTGTATACTCAGTGCAGACAGTTAGTTGCCTCTGTAGGACAGTCTGCTGAACAAGTTCTGAACTCCAGCTTCTCTTTGGAACCTGACCATCTGACTCAGGCTGTACATTAGATGTCTCTATCATCTTAATATCCACATCTCTAAGTTCACTACAAATGGAAGAACCTCAAGGGAGAGGGGTGGTGTGTACCTTTTGCAAAATAGCGTGGTGATTGAAACATGTCCAGGAAGTGAGAGCTCTGGGTTATAGGATCTTCTCAATCTACAGGGAGATTCTTCTGTATCAGATGAGTGCCCTAACCACCAGGCTAGGAGGTAGTCTAGGTGGGAGACAGACTTCTTCCTCTCCTGTTGAAGCTGGATCACGAAGTAGTATAGCTGGCAATATTCCTGGGGCCAGAAGGAGAGCAAGTAAGGGGGAGACTGACCCAGAGTCCAGTGGTGAGGGTATACCCCTGGATGGGCAAGCAACCTTGTATGGAATGAGAGAGTATGGACTGAAAACAACTCTTGTTTTCAGCTTATGTATTTTACATTGGACAATCACTGGCTAAAAATAGAAATAACCCTGGCAGTTAGAAACGACCATTTATTTCCATCTTGTAATGAAGTGCCCTTGTCACTAGGCTTTCACTTTTTCTTGTTTGATTTCCTTCTGGCCCCATGACTTGTGCCTAGTAGCCCAAATTCAGCAGGAGGGAGAGGGACATTTCATCCAAATTAGTCTGTACTCCAGTTGTTATGGCATGCTCTGGGAAATGAGAGATGTAGGTTTGAGTCCCCATGGGCAGAGGGGAGAGTCAAGCACTTAAATGTCTTGCTTCCTGTGCATATACTTTTACCTTTAGGATATTGAGTGAAAGGTAGGTGGTACCATCACCACACCCCCATTTTCAAGAATGAATGTGGTGAGCTGTGCATTGTAGTGACTCAGTTCTGCTCATGTCAGTCAAGTCTAAAGTGTGCTTATCTTGCCTATGAGATCAGGGTCTTAGCCAGCTGTTAGACATCTTGCAGCACAAATACTGATGGCTTCTGAGTATCTGCACAAGCTTAATCTGAAACCTTTCGGGACAAAATGGAAGCCTCAAGTTTTTTTGTTACACATATCTCCACCACTGATTATAAAAGTACCTAAGCAATTTTGTGGCCACTGGGACAGGGACAGTCTGGAATGTGAGTTAGGTGTTTAAAGTCCCACAGGTGCTTACAAGAGTAATTTGTATCTAGCCATTATACAGAGTTGCAATTATCATTCAGTGAAATTGGATTGTCAATTTGAAGAAAGGAACTTGGCTTTACATTGACTTTATAAATCTATACATTTATATAACTATAATTTTGTCATTAACATGTGAGTCCTAAAGTACTTGCACACCAATTGCCTTTTCACATAAACGGTCATTTTTTCAATTTGACTATTGAACAAATTGAGTTAAAAGATTGAAAAGAAAAAAGTTAAATCCTATTCTTCTTGTTCTTTTAGCCTCATGCTTTGCTTCTCCCTCCTTAGCTAAAGGCAGTACAGTTTTCATTTTCTAGCATTCTTTCAGTAGCTCTGATTCTTCTTAGGACCATCCTTTGAAAGCTCCCTAGACAGCACCTGAATGTTCAAAGTGAGGTAAACGCAGCCTCTGCTTTGAAATGACATGTCACAAAATAGATTCTGTAAACATCAAAGACCTAAAGCGATGGCATACGCCATTCCACACTTTCTGTGATATGCTACCAGTGCCCATTGCAAAGTATCCTAAAGAGTATCAGAATCCTGAAAACCGCAGACCACCAGGAAACCACTGTTCTTATTTCAATAGGGAAGTTGAGACAATAATTGGAGGAATTGAGAATTAGATCTGCACCTTTAAAAATAAGATTGGGGAGGAAGGGGAGAGATTCTTTGTCATTTCCTGCCTTCCCTTATGTTGTCATATATATGATATGTGCAGCTGTTGAAGAGCTCGAATATGAAAAGAAAGCTTTTCTCTGTTTATTGACAAACTGGTTTATAGAGAGTAATACGGTAATTCACCTCAGACTAGTTCTTTTCTTGAGCTTCAGGCTCAAGTGCATTTCTTTTGTTTTACAGTGCTGGTGTTGGGAGAACAGGCACATACATAGTACTAGACAGCATGTTGCACCAAATTCATCATGAAGGAACGGTCAATATATTTGGATTCTTGAAACACATACGTACACAAAGGAACTACTTGGTGCAGACTGAGGTAAGAAGAGAGATACATCATGTGAATTAATTCCAGCTTCTATGACAGGTCGCAAACAGATATTCATTTCTAGTGGTTTAAATTTTCTACCATTAGAAATATTTCTGGGAGAGGGAGCAGTACAGGCATTCAGCCTACAACCAGCCCCTCTCTTCTACTCTTCCTGCCTTCCAAAGACCAGGTGATTGCAATTTTGTGAAAAGTGGGGAGCAGCACCTGTTCCACTCCTACTATTTCCACAGGAACTGGAGCAGGAGGGCCAACCCTCTGCCTGTTGCTCAGACTGAGGACCCTAGTCCCAGTGTTCTTCCCTTCCCACAGGAGAGGCAGGAGCTGCTGTCTCCCATGCCTTCTCCAGACCAGGGCTACTCTGGTCTGTGAAAAGCATGGGAGCCTTTCCCCATCACTCAACTTCTCCTGGGACTGGAAGCTGTTCCCTGTGTCCTCCTCAGACCAGGGTGACCACAGTCTCAGGAAGATATTGGGTGCATTTTCCCTCTCCTCAATTCCTCCTGATCTCTACAGGTGTCAAGCAACAGGAAAGTGTATAGACATTCACTCTCCTGGGAGAAACTGTAATTGCCCATACACTCATGGTTTCTACCAGGAGAGTTGCAATTTTTCAGCTGCCACTTCCAAGTCAGTGTGATCGGCCATGGGGGGAACCCCTCTCCCCCTGGTCACTGACTGGCCACTGGGGGGCAAGTGCCCTCCCCCCACCCCACCCCCCAACTCAGGAGGCACCAATCACCCATGGCCAGGACATTGTATACATTTCAACTTCACTCCCACAGCTGAGCTGTGCCTTTCTTTCCCATTTCCAATGATTCCTGTTTCTTCACCAGCCTTAAATGTTTGATGAACATCATCAAACAGGGCCTCATGCTGTTCACCCAGTGTCCCTCTGTGGCCCCCTCCCTCAGTTTGGTTAATTAGTGTGGTCCCATCCTCCATGAGGTGGAGCTGGACCAGGTTGCCCTGTACCTCATATGCATATCAATTTTTGGAGGACTCATGACAAGAACATGGGGTTCCAGTTGTGAGTGGGGGTCTGATTAGCACACGGATCCTTTGTGGGAGATATCTGGAGTACACACACATACTGAGCAGTGCTGAGCTGTGGGGTCACCATGGCTTGAAATGCTGTTAACTCTGGTGGGGCCCAACCCAATGAACTATGTGGTAAATCATGAGCCTTTTGCCTTTGGACTAATATTATGCATAAATTGATGATGAATCAATGATGAGTTAAAAGACTGAGAAGCAGGTGGAGGAGTTGGGTGGGGAGAGGACACTGAGGTGGTCCCCTATGTAATTGTGAGAGTTGAAGGTAATAGTGACAGGCAAACAGGCGTGCACAGTGCAGATTTGTAATTGGAATGAGAATGGTGCAACTGTAAAGGTGTGTTTTGGACTGTCAAGTGAACCACAGTGGTCACAAGGCAGATTGATAAAGGTATAGCTGTAGTATATCTGTAGTAATTTGTCTGTATGTGAATTACTATTTCAAGATCAGTTTTTTCAAATTTGCCCCTTCCACGTGCTCAGGAAGAGTAGGGTATGAAAGTAAGGAAGGGGGGAAGGGGCTTCAGGGGGAAGAAGTTGCAGGGGCCAGAGGGCAAAGCAGCTACCTGACCCCCCCCCAGATTTATCTGTACTGCTATTGCAATGCAAAGGGGACAGATTCAAGACAAACCTCCAATAATTAGATTCTATACCTGGAAAATTATAACATTTATAAATCTTCCATATATATGTGACAGGGGGTCTTTTATTCAGGGGCATCTTATATTCAAGTAAATATGTAATTGTATAAACTTTCAACATCCTAAATTATAGAAGTAAGATTCACAATCCTTTAGAAATATTGTCTTCAGCCAACAGTGACACATTGGTGAGAGGTGGTGTCCATGAGCATTACTGACAGCTATTAGAGCTAGAATATTTGTTGCTATTTCCTAGGAACAATACATCTTTATCCATGATGCGTTGGTTGAAGCCATACTCAGTAAAGAAACAGAAGTCCTCGAGAGTCACATTCATGCCTATGTTAATACTCTCTTAATACCTGGACCAACAGGAAAGACAAGATTAGAGAAACAGTTCAAGGTGAGTTCTTTTGGTTATCAAAACTGAAAGTTTTATGGCAATGTAATTTTCATACCTCTAACCATTATAGTAAACAATGGAATTGAAAAGTGCAAGAATAGAGGTGATACTGATTGAACGTTTTCTTTATTCCTAACTACTGAAACTAGCTCCATAGCAGTATAGCAAATAGATGCAGGATGTGAGATAACCTTATTATGAACATAAACGCATATTTTATGAAAATAAAAGGTAGATGTTGGGCCAGACATACTATAGTGTTCTAGTTAAAGGGTCCACAAAGGTGATAAGAGTGACTTAAGAGGAGACAAGGAATGCACTTTTTCAATCATGCCATTGGGGAAGGTGCAGTTTGCTAGCTCGGGTGAACCTGACTCATTAAGTAAGAAATTTGCCTTTACAGATTATTTTGAATTCTAGGCAATAAATCCCAGTTTAATGATTGTTAGCTTGTATGGTACAATACAATTTTCACTCTGATTTCAACCCGGCTTAAGACCTTTGCCTCTAAATACTTTGATACACTAAAGGAATGGTCAATGTAAATAACACCTCTTTGGAATAGTAGATTTATATTCTCTTTCCCTGTAACTATTGGAGCTCTCTGAATAAATTGCAGCAGTTATAATTAACTACAGAACATGAATTAAACTCATAAAAGTAATTCATAGATGATCTCCCTCTTGGCTAGAAGGAGCATGGGGGAGTTGCCACTTGCCCTGCATAGCTGGAGAGAAAATGTAAATGACATACAGGATCCCAAAATAATTCCTGTGTTAATATTAACAATGTGAATATCTTGCTATAATTCCAACATTGCTGTCACCTGATTTTTGGCTGAGGAAAGTACAGCCTAACAGAACTTCATGGAATGTATCTATGTTTCTGTCCATAAAGCAATAAGACCACATCTGGTCAGTTCCAAACCAGCAGGGATTTTCCATATATGGGGGAAATGGGGAAAAAAACATTAATTTTGTGGAAATCAGAAAAATGAAACTCTGGAAAAGCCTTTTTTTCCCCATAGTGTTTATTTGGTGTTGCAGGGAGAGGACTGTAACTCAGCCAGTCATCAATCACTTCCTCCAGTTCATTTGTCTATGCCAAATGTTTAAATAAGTCAGCAGATGAAGCTGCAAGTCAAAAAGGATTTCATACACCCTAAGGCTTCACAGAGTTCATGTCTAGAATAGCAGAGCCCATTTCAGAATGGGAACTGTATTGGCTGAGTATGAGTAAGACTGGAGGCTTGCACAGCGGCTTCATCTTATTCTTGGTTCAGGCATGACCATTTGTTTTTGCCCAGGCAAAACTGCTTTCAGTGATATAAACAGGAATCTCTCTATGACCATCATTTCAAAATGGCAGAAACAGTTAAGGCAAATAAAAGGGTTAGAATTGAAGGCTGGGTTACTGGAAGGAGAGATGATGCCTGAGTAAGTTATCTCTGATGTCACACACTTATTCCCCAGGTGCCTCTGCCTGCAGTGTCACATCATGGTCACTGCCAATGAGAAACTCTTTAAGAGACCACTAATCTGGGAAAAGTGAGACCTGGCTTCAGTCTGTACTACAATAAATACTCAACATAAATTAAAATATTCATTAGGGCAGGTCACTGAACCCATATCTCCACACACTGAATAATGGTTTAAACCACTGACTTTTAGAGTTGCTATTCTCCCACTGACACATTCTCTATACCTCCTTCACTTCTAGATCAATAGATGTATAAAATATATATGTAAAGTAAAATACCTTCAACAGGAGGGACTGAGATAACCTCTTATTCCAGAATATCTAATTGCCTGGAGATTAAAATATTTTTTCTAATAGAATGGTTTGTTGAAGTCCTTTAGTGAACTAACCCTTAAGCACCTGACATGGGGGTATGGAATCCCCTAGGCAAAATGCCTAGAGGTTAGATACTGCATTGCATCTTTTTGTAAATCTAGTCCTGAGTTCTACAGCTGCAGTGAAGTATGCAACCTCTTCTTAATGCAACCAACTAACAGAGTGTCCCCTTTATTTTCTCCATTGTATAACAACATGATTCTTTTATCTCATTGTTTCAGCTACTGAGCCAGTCTAATATACAGCAGTGCGATTATTCTACTGCACTGAAACAGTGTAACAGAGAAAAGAACAGAACTTCTTCAATCATTCCTGGTAGGCTTATTTGCATTGGTTTCTTTTGATGACAATGGTTTTAAATGGATTAAATGTCAAATGGCATCTTTCCTTAGCAAAATCTGCAGATAACTGCACTGGAGTGGGGCAAGAGTGTACATCAATTCTGTAATATGCTTTTAGTGAAGAAATGTAAGTAGTTACACTGAGGAAAACAGCAGCTACAGTTCTGTGACATTTTATCCTGATTCTTGGATCGTTATTTTATTAGCATTGCTATAATAAATGAGCCATATAGACTAGTTCACAACTTTCTTTTACAGTGGAACGATCTAGAGTTGGTATCTCTTCATTGTCCGGTGAAGGTACAGATTACATCAATGCTTCATATATTATGGTGAGTCAAATCATGGTGCTACTGAAAACTTACCTTCTTTTTGGAGTTCACAGGTATTTGCATTAGTGGCAGTGTCCTAATTTTTATATTTATATCTGTGTGTGTGTGTGTGCGTGTGTATCAGTAATAATAATACGATAATGCAACATCAGTGAATAAACGTTACAGGGGAGTTCCTAAAACTAGTTAAAGCTAACAAGTTTTTAAGGGTAGAGTATATCAGGGCCTTGTTACACATTGCACTTTGAACTGCTCAAAGATTGATCTGTGTTAGGGCCAGCTCGAGTTTGGAGCAGTCACACCTTAAGGCTAAAAACTAGAGGTGCACCGATACATCACTCTGATATCGGATAGGTACCGATATAAAGAAAATTTGCTGTATCAGATATCAGCCCGCTGGGGGCCAATAATTTGGCCGATAAATGCCCGTGTTACGTGCAGTTGCAGCACAGCAAGGAGCAGAGCTGGCAGTGTGAAGAGCTACCTCCAGCTGGTAAATCAGAAGGGGAGAGGGGAGGGAAGGGGCATGGCGGGGGCAGCCCTGAGCCACCAGGTGGCTCCATGTCCTGCCTCCATCCATGTGCTGGGAACAGCCGGGACTGCTCCGGGCGCCTGGTGGCAACGGTGGTGCTAGGAGAGGAGCTGTGGCGAAATTTGAAGTGGCTGCAGCACCTGCACAGTACCTGCCCCTGCCCCCTCCCTCCCTCACTATAGGGGGCATTGATCTGCCACCCCACACCCCTTCCCTCCCCTTCCACCACAACAGACTTACCACTTAAAGGCAGCTGTATCGGATATCAGATCCGTATCAGCTGATATGCCTCCTTTAAATATCGGCAATTAGTATCGGCCCCAAAAATCTCTATCAGGACATCCCTATTAAAAACTGTCTCTGACTGTTCCCCACCTGCACAGCTGTGACTTGCCACTAGAAGGCTAGCGAGCAGGGGCCTGACTAGGACCTATAGCTGTGAGTTACCACCACAGGGCTGGTGAGCCAGGACAGGCTTCTGTCGCCGCTCTAGGTGGGGGTATGAGACATGGATTGAGGAGAGGGGGGCATGAATCTGGGAGGCAGAGAGTTAATGGGATAGGGTGGGTAATGAAATGGGAGGTGGAAAGGAAATGGGGGTAGGGGAAGGGTGGTGAAATGATGGAAGTCAGATGGGGGTAGGGGAAGGGTGGTGAAATGATGGAAGTCAGCCAGTGAAAGATAAAATAAAAAGAATTTAAAAAAAGAAAAAAATTAAATTAAAGAAAGTTTCACGTTTTAATAAATTGGGTTTGGGGTGTGGGGATGCTGTTCATGCTTTTGGGGTGGCTGGGATATGGGAGCAGTGAGGGAAGGCACTTTTGGGGAGCAACTGCCCTTGCCCCATGAAGGAAGCCCCAGCTTCTGGGAACCTGATTTAGCTCCCTACCTTGTTGCTCCCACCACCCACTCTGGACCTGTCTGTACCCTGTGATCTGGGTAGCTGACATGTGTTCTGCAGGCTGTCTGCCTAGGGTTGCACCCTTGGGGGTGAGATGTTTGCACCCCCGGGGGTGAGAGGAGGAGTTGGCTTGGTGCCAGAACCACACCCTGAGCAGTAGAGTTCACGGAGTAGAAAATTTGTCCACACAGAACAGGCAGGTGGAAGAGGGGACACTGCATCCTGGCATGCTGGAGAACTGCAATATGGGCAACTCATCTGTGGGGAGTGGGCATCCATTAATGGAACATGAGCTGGGTAACACAGATCAGAGAGAAACCTGCCCTGGAGTAGTGTACTTAAAACCAGTTTCAGGTGTTAATGTATAGACAATCCAGAAGTTAAGAGTGCTGGGAGCCACCTAAAATTATTGTGCAACAAGGCCCTAATTGTAACACAGATGAGGTATGTGTGTTGGTGGAGGGGAGTCATAGCTCTCTGAGTGATACACAGGGCATGCAGTGTGCCATCTCCCTCTTTCTGTTTCTCCTGTTCTGTCATTTTGTTCCCCTTTGTAGTCCCTCTGTTCTTGGGCTCTACTCTGGCACTGAGCATAGTGAATGGGGAGTAAGAAGAAGAGAAAGCCTTAGTTGTAATGCAAGAAGCTAGGTTTGTTTGGTAAAACCTATTATTGAACCAACTGTATATTTGGGAGAGATAATAGATCAGGGTTTCGGGCACAAATGCCCTTCCTCAAGTTTACGAAAAAAGTAGGTACAGCCTAAGCTAAGTGTCAGGAAGAATAATTATTTTTGTTGCACATGCTCATCACAAAACATGACATACCTAATCCAATACAAGAAATGTCCTGTGTTTCACTGTGTGGGTGAAACTGTACACCTACAATGCTCCAGAATGAACTCTCACAAAAAAATGATAACACAACAGAAACACCCACTCACCAGGGTGAGAACACTCTACTGAACAACCACTCCATCTCTGACCTCAAAGTCTGTGTACTCAAGGGAAACCACACAATGACTTTAGAATATGGTCTTGCAACAAAAATTACAACTTCATTGGACAACAAACATCATGACTTTAACACAGAGAAGAGTTTTATGGCTGGTTACAACCTACCTTCTCCCTTTTCTAATCTCACTGTTCTCCATATGTGATAATGGTCTTCTTCTCTTTTGAGTGGTCTTACCACAGAGCAATAAACTCAGGCACATATCACGTGGCAGTTTATTCCTCTGGGACGCTGTGTTTGCACATGCACCCAAGACTGCAGCATGTTAAGCCAAGTCAGAGCAGCCCTGGCTGACAGGGAGCTCTGAGGGGTCAGCCTGCCAGCCTGGGGCTACTCTGACCTGGCTCAACATGCTGTAGAGGGGTTGGCTGGGGAACAAGAGTGCTCCAGTGCAGAGCTAGCCAGCAGGCAGCCCTGCACTGAAGCACCCTCGTGCCCCAGCCAGTCCCATCAGCATCTGCACGTGGGTTGCTGCTCACTAAAGAATGCAGCCTCAGGATAGTACTTGTATTTACAAGTACTAACCTGCAGCAGAGTTAATTATTTCCCTGTGGCCTAATAGGGCCACACATGCAGATGTTGAGACTACTGCAGAGCTAATTAGGTGGCTCTGCAGTAAACATCTCATGTAGATGCATCCACTGGCACTTAGCTTAGGCTGTAGCAGCTTCTGTACCAGACCGAAGGGGAGGGCATTTTGTGCTTGAAAGCCTGTCTAACATCTCTCCCAAACATGAAATTACACCATTACAAAATATTACCAAATGAACAGTGGTTTTCTCACATTTCCTGGATCATCATGGCTACAATATTGCAGTATTGGCTGTGTATATAAGATTTACAGGAGCAGTGTCTTTTTAGCTAGGAGAAGTCAATCCTTGAAGGAGAAATATTGTTCATAGCCTGCAGTTCTGTTTATGTATGACATTTCTCCAGTTACGTGAGAGAGAGACAGAAGGATCTGCCACTCTCGATGACTGGCACTCATAGGGGATGCCTTTCATAAATTAGGGAAGTGTCAGAGAACTTCATGGAACTGCCAGGAACTCTTTTTTCCTGCATGACACCAACACTTCTGGAGCCTGCACGGTGAAGAGCAATCTGCACATGACTGAGCTTTATGCATTTTCATTTAGAGGTGGCAGTTTCCTTTAATTCTCCATTGCTTACAATTGTTGGTTTTTTTCCTTTTTGGAAGCTTGAATTCTTTTTTTTTTTTTTTTTGTGCTTTTGTCCATTTCCATTTGACATGGATTGACTTCTCTGACTGACATCCACGTGAAGGAAAAGCCAAAATAACTCCTATTTTATTTAAACATCAGTCTTTGTATGAAAAAATTTTCCTCTGCATATATAGTATTGGACATCAGTTCTGAATCTGATTTTTGTCTGTCTTGTTTTGTTTTGTTTTGCAGGGTTATTATCAAAGTAATGAATTCATTATCACCCAGCATCCCTTGTTACATACCATCAAGGATTTCTGGAGAATGATATGGGACCATAATGCCCAGCTAATAGTCATGCTTCCTGATAGTCAGAACATGGTAAGATTTATGACTAATTGCTGTTGTTTGATCCATCTTGTTTATAGTACTATTCTCATGGGAAACATGGCTATGAAGACAATTTTAAAAGGATGCTAAAAAAATTAATTAATTAAAGATATAAGAAATCAAATACTATAATTAATTGTGGGTCAAATCCTGAGGTCCTTATTCAAGGAGACTTTGTGGAGCTGTGTAATCCATGGGTTACTGGACCAACACCACATGCCAACCCCAGCCCCTCACACTGCATGTGGTTCATGGCCTGGACTCAGTACCACACACCCTGCACGCAGCACAGCGGAGTACCGCTGTATGCTAATTACCTAACTTTGTGGCTATTTTTTTAGGCTGAAGATGAATTTGTTTACTGGCCAAACAAAGATGAGCCTATAAACTGTGAGAGCTTTAAAGTGACTATGATTGCTGAAGAACACAAGTGTCTGTCTAATGAGGAAAAACTCATAATCCAAGATTTTATTTTAGAAGCTACACAGGTAATATAATTAAAGTTGTACACTTAGAGTTTGATTTGTTAAACTTAGTTTATGTTAAGCATTAAAAGTTTTAGTATTTAAAAAGAATACGCTAGGGGTGAGAGAGCACATTATGGTTAGCAAGTGCCAATTCTAAGGAGTGTTAGTCCATGTTAAGGTTAACTAGTACTAGTGATCAATCACATTTTCAGGGTTAATACCCTCTCCAATATACACCACACAGAACTGCTGATAGAGGACTGAAGAACAGGGGTGTGCCTAGGGGCTGCAAGTGTGATCCATGCTTGCTCTGTTTGCTGACTGTCTAGCCACAGTAGGGGGCGGGGGGAGAAAGCCCGCACGCCTCTTCCCCCCCCCCCCGCAGGCCGCTGGTCCCCCCCCCTCCCCCCCCCCCCGCATGCTGCTTGGATCACGCCCTCCGCCCACCCCCTGCAATCAGCCCCTTCATCCCTGGATTGCAGCCCCACTCCAGATCACTGCCCTGGCTCCCACAGTCAGACCAAGAGTAGTGGTGGCAGCTGCAGGGAGCGGTCCCTCCCTCCTTGCCTGCTTCCTGCAGCCCATGCCATCCCTGTACCTGGATCCAGCCCCAATGGGCCCTGCAGCTGCCTGGCGGTTCTTTGCACCCCACTTCCCCTCCTCCTGTTTCCCTTTCAGTTTCAGGACCTGGCAAGGGCTGGACCTGGGTGCACTGGGGCAGTGCGCTGTGCAGGGACCTCTGCTCATGGGCGGGTTTCCCCTCCTTGCCTCCTCCTGGGGTCCCTGCACCGTACGCTTTCAGTCTGATTGGGGAAGGCAGAGCAGTGATCTTGGGATGGAGGTGCAGTGGGGGCCGTGGAGAAGTTTGGGTGTCAGGGAAGTGATTTGAGGGTAGAAAAACCAGTTTGGGGGGTAGAATTGGGAGGCAGCAGCCTGGCAGCTTCCCACACACCCACTGCATCTTCCCCCTACTCCTCCTCTTCCCCCCATCCAATCCTGCCCCATTCCCCCTGGATTCCATACCCCACTTCACCCCTTTTCCTTCTCTCGCCACTCACCCCATACCCATCTCTAGCCTGCTGTTCCCAGCTGGATGATAGCTAATCCACCTGAGAGCAGTGTCCCCTGGGATACTGGAGAACTGCAAACTGACGCAGTAAACTGATGCAGCCCTTAGGCTATAATTTAGGAATCAATATACAACACTTGAAAGACAAATAATCTTTTTGCTATCTTATTTTGAAGTGTCTACTAGCTCACAGAAAGAAACAGTTCCTTGTTAATTTAAAGAAAAGAAAAATTTAAAAGATATGGGGTTTTTGTGAAATTGACTATAGGCAATGTACACTGTTCTCCCAAGACACTAGTATAAAGACAGTCTATTCTTTGAAGTTCTTGATGCGTTCCAATTTTTATTTTCAGGATGACTATGTTCTTGAAGTGAGGCATTTTCAGTGTCCCAGATGGCCAAATCCAGACAGTCCAATTAGCAAAACATTTGAACTTATAAGTATCATCAAAGAAGAAACTTCTAACAGAGATGGGCCCATGATTGTGCATGATGAGTAAGATCTATAACTTTCAATTTTCTTTGGATACTGAATATGTTGGCATTCCCCCGTTACATCCATGCTTGCCTTTCATGAGACTGAGGCATTGAAACCAAACCCAGAGCTTCTACATGAAATAGATAACACAAACAGCAGAACTATTGTGTAAGTTTTTGTTTCACCTGAATTGCATCAGCAAGAGAAACACTGAACTAGACATCAAGAATAGTCTTTTTTGGTTCTTAGTTTTTCATAACCTCATGCAGTCAAGCTTAAATTATTTTATTTCATTTTTTAATTATAGATAGAAGTAAATATACTATTTCGATATGACTTCTCACCTGCTTTGTCTCCTTAACTATGGAGAAAAGTGATAGCAGTGTCAGGAGGACCTAAAGGCCCTTGTTCCAACTGTGGAATGGTTCCCTCTCTTCAGGCATTGTGGAAAACAGCCATCAGGCTTTCAGAGGAGCCAGCAGGGCTCTTTAAGTTATGGTGGGAGCATTGGAGTGGCCCAAAATTAGAAGGGTGCAAAGCTAATTTAAAGACATCATAGTCACTACCTCCTTCTGTGCTGCACTTCTGAGGCCCGCTTTATACATTACAGGTATTGTACAATTAAAATACAAAAAATCAATTAACTAGTTAACTGGAGATCAGCTACACATGCAAAGTAGCTATCACACAATAAAAAGCTCCAACCAGTTATAAAGTTAGACCTTGAAAATGTGTACTAACTTTATAGCTAGTTGCTATTGAGCTTTAATTTGCATGTGTAACAGGGTCTCCCCTGTAGCTGGGAGCTGCATCAGATGTCAGGGCTCCGAGCTGCAGGTTTGCACCATGCCCAGCTTAAAACCCCCAGGCCCTAAGAATCATGGCAGCTGTGATCCCCAGGGCCCAGGGGGTTCCCTCATGCCTGAGCCCTAGGGAGCACTCCAGCTGTGATTCCCAAGGTCCGAGGGTTTCCTGAGTCCTGAGGATCGCATAACAATTCCAGGGTCTCAGGAATTCAAGAAACCTCTGGATCCTGGGGAGTCAGGACTGGCTCAGGAGTGCATGATGACAGAGATCTTGTTTTCTGTTTAAAAATTGCAAACTCTCTTATACCCCCACCACACACACATGCGCGCGCGCACACACACACACACACATTCTCTGATTAAAACCCCCAAAATCTGCAATTAAAATAAAAAGCCACTAATATATATACAGGTATCAGTTGAACACAATGCTTTATTGATATATTTACAATATATGTACCTGCCGGGACCCTGCTGTGATCCTCCAGTTCTGTGAGTTTCCCTGCCCCACCGGTTTCCCTTGGAGCAGGGAGATCACTGCACAGGCAGTACTCCAGCCTCAAGGATGCATGGGGCGCCACCATGGCTTGGAGCCCCTCAACCGGGGTGTATAGGCTCCCCTTGCAGGAACTTGCCAGTGCAGGAGGATCCTGGGATTGGGTTCCCACTGCACCAATGGAATTTTATGCATAATCCTGCAATTGTGCCTTCTGCCTTGCAGGTGTGGCATGGCAGGAAGTGCAATTTTGTGAATCTCAAATTAGATCTCATTGCTCCTTTATTTTCTTGTGTAGAAGGGGCCTAAGGCACAGCACAGAAAGACACTGTAGGGATTTAGGGGGCTTCTGCATATTCCTGTGACAAGCTACCTCAGTAAACCCAAATATTTTTTTTATTTTTTTACTTTCCAAAGGCACGGCGGGGGGACAGCAGGGACCTTCTGTGCACTAACAACACTCATGCATCAACTGGAAAATGAAAGCTCTGTGGATGTCTATCAGGTAGCGAAGATGATTAATTTGATGAGGCCTGGAGTTTTCACAGATATAGTAAGTAAATGAGCAAAATCTCTGCATATTTTTCTCTCTGTATGTGGTAACTTTAGCATAGTGTGATGTTGGGACAATACAAGTGCAGCTTTAGTGTGTTCATTTTTTTCAGTGTTCAACCGAACTCTTTCCTGGCTCCAGGTCTGGCAGCAGAAGAAACATGCAGTGGAGCAGTGACTGGAGGAGAGGAGGAGATGTTACCCCCATTTTTGCCATTGATGTGTATATCAAGCAGCCAAAAAAAACACTGGCTTTTGGTGGCAATAAAGGGAAGGGCATCTTCCCTCACCCCCAGCAGAAAACCTCCAGCCACTCTTCCACCAAGTCCTGCTGCCGTTTCTCTGTCCTTGCAGATGCCAGAGCAGAGAAGGTTCAGGGTGACAGAGGGATGAGGGGTAGGAGGGTGAAGTGTCATCCCCCTACTCCACCTCCCTTCTAGTGCCCCCTCTTCTTAACACCTGGGTCTTGTGCCCCATTGACCTCATCCATTGTTACACTACTGACTTTACTCCAGAGTCGGTGGTGTGACAAAGAGAACACTCGTTATCAGAGTGAACTTTTGGTACAATTTAAGTAATTGGAAACATTGTCATTAGTTACATGGAGGCTAGGATTTCACCCCATACATTAAAAAAACAAATGTACAGGGATTTTTTTTCTCACTTGAAGCACATGCACAGCATCCATTGATAATGAGGTCTACTCTAGCCAGGTGGGGCTATTTGTCACAGAATTAATACATCAGCCAATGAGTGACTTTGTAAACTGCAGGGACAGGTATACCATAGCAGCTGATATGTCACTTCAAATTAATTTGGTGTAACAGTATTGCAAGATGATCTAGCATTATTATTTAGAACAATACATTGAACATACCCTCTTTTTTCTGTAGGAGCAGTACCAGTTTCTGTATAAAGCTATCCTCAGTCTTGTTAGCACAAGGCAAGAAGAAAATCCTTCTGCTTCTATGGACAGTAATGGCACAGCTTTACCTGATGGAAATGCAGCTGAAAGCTTAGAATCTTTGGTTTAACTAACTCAAAACACACACATGCATGCACATACATACAGATGTACACACGCACATGTGCACACACACCACCTGAAGTATAGCATTGTTGTTTTCTTTTTTATATTTCACGGGGGATGAGGGGGCTGCCCAATTATTATATAATCTGTTCATTTCCCTTGTTCAAGCAACCTTTATTTTTGTTGCATATGACTTTACTGCCGAACTTACACCATTAACAATGTGTGCCTTTTTTTGGAAGATTTCTTGTAACACGTTTGTTACGTCCGGACTAACTTGATTGAATTTTACAGTGTTTCTAAGAATTGACTTGTGGTATGTTTTTTCAGTATTAGTTTCCAATTTGTCTGGCTTTACTTTTAACTTAAAAATTATCATATTTATAGATGTTAGAGAGTTCTCAACTACAAATAAAGGTCATGTTTTTAGTATCTGATTTACTTGCTGTATTTATAGCAATCCTTGCATTTGCTAGAAATATAACTTTTAATATAGTAGAATGTAAATAAAATTATGTTCTCTATAATATTCAGCATTTTAAGACTTCAGTAAACATTTAGACTAGTAAACTGATACTTACTGTAAATACTTCTATAGTGATTCCATGGACCAAATTTATATTTATAATTGTAGATTTTTATATTTTACTACTGAGTCAGTTTTCTAGTTCTGTGTAATTGCATTGTTATAATGATGTAGTTCAATATATGTTTTTATTTTAACAAAAGTCTTCTGATATATAATTGTGCATCTTAAGTGATTAATCTTCATATATCTGCATGTAATTTTAACTTTTTGTGGGGAATAGAAAAACATTTGTTTTGAAATGAGACGTTTTTATGAGAATAACATCTGTACTTGGCATTGTTTAAATTGTTTTTATCTACGGCATTGCAAAAATAAATATAAATATTCCAATCTGTACTTAGAATGCTGCAGCATACAGTAAACACTGTGCATTGTTAATACCCAAGATTTTATAAATTCTGCCACTTGCTCTCTTCTCTACTCTTCCACTTTTATAGAAGCAGATCAGCTTCCTGTTTTACTCTTCTTGTTTTACTAATTTACTCTCAGCTGATGGCTGCTGTAAGATTCTCCTGTGGTTATGAACAGTAGAAAGATTCAAGGTCCCTAGTTACTTCCCCCTATCCATGATGGTTTTTGTCCCATCTACTTGTGCCTGTGCTCTCAGCTACTCAATTCTTTGCTGTCTCTCAGGATCTAAAACCAGTAAGTGTTAGCTAAGCAGGAAGTAATGTCAGTGTGGCCTTTAACTATCTTTAAGCATCTAGGAGCCTTTTAATTTGTACTGTAAGTCTAGACTGAAATTAGTCTCACAGTATCCAGTAAAAATGAAAGATGCTGAAGTAGATCTAGTTTTAGTGAGGAAAGTGTAATGATAACCTTCTCACTTTGGTACAGTTAGTTTTAAATTTTAGGAAAAAACACAGTTCAATCCATGCCATGGCAACTACAGGGGAAAGAATTTAATTCCAGTAGAAAACTAAAGACAAGTGAAGAAAAATCTGCTTGGGCTTAGAGCTACTTGAATCATTGCAAGAGGCTTTTCTATACCTGATATGAAGAGTGCCTGGCAACAGATAGGTAATAAAGAGAATTTCTAATGTCACAGCAAATTCAGCATTCAGAGCCCAGAGAGATAAAGGTGCCAACAAATTGACGGGCTGTATAACTTCAGAAGAAAATGCTTTACTGGACTTTGTCTCCATCTTCCAGATTTACTGGCCAATCTTGGATCTAAACATTACCTCTTTGCTGCAGCAAAGAGAAGCGTTTCATTTTAAAAGTCACTGGGCATGTCTACACGTGAAATTAATGCAACACAATAAACTCCGGCACAATATGAGCCAGAGTTCATTGCTCCTGGGCACCACATTTACCCCTGGGATGGCAGCATGTTGATCCAAGTCAGAGCAGTCCCAGCTGGCAGGGGGTCCAGAGGGTCAGCCCGCAAGTCTGGGGCCACTCCAGCTCTGCTTAACTTACTGCAGAGGGGCTGGCTGAGGAACAAGGGTGCTCCAGGGTGGGGCTAGCCTTCAGGCAACCCCTGCACTGAAGCACCCTCATGCCCCAGCCAGCTGTCAGCATCAACATGTGTGTTGCTGAACACTAAAGAACGCTGCCATACGTAGTACTTGTGTTTACAAGTACTAACCTGCCGTGGAGTTAATTAGTTTCCTGCAGCCTAATAGGGCCACATGCATAGATGCTGAGACTTTACTACAGACCTAATTAGGCAGCTGCACAGTAAACATCTCATGTAGATGCGCCTCCTGTTATTCAGTCAGCTCCACCCAGCAGTGCAGGATTTCTCTAGGAGGAGAGGCAGAATGTTAAGTAGTATATAAAAAGGTAGTATATAAAAAGATAAAGCCAACCTAATCTAGATTTAGGAAGATCTAAAATGTAAAGGAATGAAGCACCTACCGTTCAGTCTGGGCTCAGGCACAGTCAAACTGACAGCCTTTCTCGAGAGACAGAATAGCACGTGGATTGCTAAAAGTGCGGCAGATTTATTCATGTTTCTGTCTATTTGTGTCCCCTACAAATTAAATTTCAAGTATGGGTGAACTAACCTGAATCAGTCAAACTAAGCCAATGCAAAGTTTGTCTTCTAAAATTGTGCCAATGTGTTCATTCTGTTAAATCCCCTTTTCCACTTGACCTCTTCTCCTTCTAGAGCTATGCATGTGCCTCCTTAATTCAAAGGGTCAGCCACTTGCATGAATAATTCATAAGGCAACAGCACAGCTCTTTTTGTGAATCAAATTTATTCCCCACTAAGCTTATACAGTTCTCTTTCTCTCTTACTTGTCATATTTGTATGTTTGCTATTTCTAGGTAGGAAGCACAGCACTGTGAGATTCATTACATGTGAGTATGCAATGAAAATTACCTATGTGTAGTTTTAATCACCCTGAATTACTGTGAGAGTTTCAATTTTGTTTCAAATCCTATATTTGTACAAGTACTCATGGTTTAAATGGTATATTTTGTAATTAGATTATAAGAAAAAGTTACATATGTGCAGTACCTGCTGATTTCTACCAAATATATTTTATTTATGATAGCAAGCCTACATACATTGGATCTCTGAAACCTTTAGGTATTGAGTTGCAATTGAAAAACAGTACTATGTTCATTCTTAAATAGAAGACATAATCATCCAAGTGGTGTGGGCATCTACTTACCAAGGCAGTGACTTCTAGTGACAGAAACTTACAACTTTGCACAACTGGTTCAACAGCATAGATATGGACTGCATGTTGGATAATTCCCTCATCTTCTGTTCCAGAAACATGGAATATACACAGACAAAATAATTTTTCTTTTCTTAATCCCTTGGGGTGCAAGTGCCAGGGAGGTTAATTTTGATCTTATGGCTGCTTCCTAACCCCATTTCCTAATCCTCTTACTTTATATTCCCTCTCTTCACTATAATATTGGCACACAGCAAGAGTATAAGTAATCTCAATGCTTTTGTCTGCTACTTCTCCAGCTTCTGCTCTAGAAAAATGCCTCATAGCCTTACACAAGTTCATGTTGTTGCTTTTTTTCCTGTGACATGTATAAGTACTGATCTCACTTTTAAAATACCTCCATACAAACCCAACATTTTTTTACAGCCCAATATGTTCTACTATAGTGCTTATGTAAAAGCAGAAAGAAATGTTCCTTTGCCACCCCCAACCCCTTGAAATAACTGTTCCTTTTAAACTAAACTGATTGACAGACCTTTTAAAATATAATCCAAGGAATCAAGTGTTGTGCCAAGATTTCTTCTATCGATTTTTGTAATCACATTCATCATCTTAGCATGCTGACAAGTTATTTCAAGCATAAGTCCTTAGAATAATCTCTTTACTAACACATATTGGATCTAGAAAAAAATTAAGAATCATAAGAAATCTTCTATAAGCTTCAACTTGTGATGGATTACTGATTTTAATAAATGTGTTTCAGTTCCTAAATAGAGCTGGCAAGTAATTCTCAGACAAATGCCATATTCTAATTATATTTTTTCTTGTAATCCAAGCTACAGACTCAAAAGACATATATTGTCTTCTTTGCAAACTGGGTCAAGTGTGGAAAATATGTTAATATACTGCAAATCTCCAAATAAGTCATAACAAACAATGTCAATTTAAGGCTTTTAAAAAAGTTATAACAAAGCTATGTATGTCAAGAAGTGATTAATGTCCCCTCTGCTAAGAGACAATTAAAAAGCAAACACCCTCTACCCCATACCCCTCCCAATACTGTCCATCATCCACCAGCACGCAGTCCTTGAAAATAAAGCATCTGTTGTTGTATTTTTAACATCTGAGTAAAAGCTTTACAGAAGTAGTTTGTGCATCCCTTGCAACTGCTTTAAAGGTACAATAACTTATGATCTGCTCATCTGCCCCCTAGAATATAAGTAGTGGTTTTGGCAATTAAACAACTTTGCCAAACTTTAATCATTTGGGCTGAAACTTTCTATTCCAGGTGGGAATGTCATAACACTTTTATGAAGTCCTGTGTCCCCAGGCTTTAGAGCTACGGCTTGATTTTGGTGAGGAGAATGAAGCAGGGTTTACTGTAATGCCAGGGATATGCTTTATACCATCCCTATACGAAGTCCCCCAAATTTGGCATGGCACATGGCAGAAGAGATTTATTATCATAGGACAACATAAGTGCCTGACAGTTCTATCTGTATCACATGCAGTCTATCCTGAAGCATCCCAGATGGAAATGGACTTTCCTACCATTTCTCAGTCAGAAGTCAGAGGAGCTGCAATGGTATTGGGTGTAGGAACTGAGAGCAGGGAGACTGAGAAGGAAGCAAGCAGCTTAGAAGGATCAAGAATTGGGAGAGAAAGAAAGGAGCCAGAGGTAGAGAGGGGAATCAGAATGGGAGGTTGGCGTGATGGGTGGGTGGAGAGCCCAACATCTGGGATTTTGTCCCTAATGCTGGGCTCCCCACCTGCCAGATGTTCCAAGGGTGCCCCAGGCAGTAGCAGTCTGTGAATCCGTGCTTCATGTGGTATCCTTTCAACTTGCCCACATGTGAAGAGCCCATCAGTGGTGCAGCCCTGTCTGACACTCTGAAAACCATGTGGTTCATCTCCATGCAGAGATGAACCATGCAGCTGTCAGGAAGGTCTCCCTGCACTCTGGTACCTAAGGCACCACTGCAACTAGAACTCCCTTGTCTCTTGTCTCCAGCTACCTAGGGCATGTGCACCTGGGGGTAAGGACTGTCCCCACACCACCCCAAGGTAGCTGGCAAACTTAAAGACCCATGATGCAACCTGCATTGGGATTCATTGTAAGGCTTTTCCTTGATACATACTCAATTTAAGGTGAGATGGAAACCAGTCACAAAAATGTTCTACAGATTGTTTTGTTGTGCCACTAATTGCCTGAACACATGGCAGTTTTATTCTTTATGGCATAATCAACATACATCATAATTGTAAAATCTTCCAGGGGCCACAGACTTAGAGTACCAAATGGATGCATCTAGAGCAGTGCTTCTCAAACTATCTGATGTGGCAGACCAGCAATTTTTTTTCCAGTGGGCCAGGGACCGGTGCCCGGTTCAGCCAGTGGCAGCAATTGCGTGTAACAGCGCTACACTAATGCGTGACCGGCTGTTTCTTTCTCTTTCCTCACCTCGCATGATGTGACGTCACCTGGAGTGTTGGAACATACAAACTGTGGCACTATGACATATCAATGTTATGCTTCTGAAAATATATTTCTTTCTTTCCTGGCAACTCCCTGTGGACCGGCGACTGGGTCCACGGACCACCACTTTGAAAAGCACTGATCTAGAGCACTACTTTGCAGTCCAAAACGGAGAAGCCAAATGAACTACTGAATTGGCTACAGCAGGCCCAATCTGGGCCACTGTTTGAAACTTGGACACATTGGATATTTAGGTACCAGAATAATCAGTCTGGCCTGCACCCTTAATAGGCACCAAGTT